TAGGAAGTGGCATATAAGTAAAAACAATAACAGCAACGAAAAGAAGGGGGTCTCCTCATTAATCAGTATGGAAATGTAGTGATATATGGGGGTGAAGTGGGATGGAACTCTCTACTATTCTTCTTTCTTAGCATGCCACAAGGTATATTGCTATTATCACGGTCATGGCCATTGCCATTATTGTTATTGTTACTGATATTTCGATCACTGCAAGCTGGTAGCTTTTCTGGGCTTATCAATAAAGTTGTTTTGCATAGAAAGTGGAAAAAGTGACCAGGAACCGTAATTCTCTTTGGAAACCTGCAGAGCTGGAACCCACACGGGGTTCTAGAATGGTGGGGTTACTACGGGAACGGGGGCCTATCCTCTTTCATTGATACGGTCTTTGGGCAGGAGCCCAGTCCCCCCCATGGCCAGAAAGTCCCAGGCAAACTTCACTCTAGCTCTTCCTCACGTTATGAACAGCTAAAGAGCATGGCTGATTATTTTAAGCCCCTCACCCGACCTGCTGTTGTGGACCGCTGCATTTCTGCTGTTTCTCAATGGCGTCCCATTGTGTGGCTTGCGAGCTTAAAAACGATTGGCCAGCTCCGACTGGGCGGCGTGCTTCTCTCTTGCCTGGCCACGTGCCTGGTGGTGGTAGCGGTCTCTACAGAATATTGGGTCAAGCGATTTGTCCAGGGAATCTTTGTGTTCCGGGGACTCTGGAAGGACTGCCGCCTGGGGAAATGCACCCCTCTGCAACAAATGCCATGTAAGAGCTCCACAACTCTCCGGATTTACAACACGAGGCTGCTGTAAAAAGGTCCAGATATTGTTTCCCTAACTATGAGTTTCTATCAGTGACACGTTTCATTGAGAGTGGAAAACGGCCATAATGTTCCTCTTTGTAGACAAAATTTCCTGCCCCTCTCTCTCCACATCTCCTCCTGCTTCCATCATCAGGTGGGAAAATGCTTTTGCATTTTGTTCAGTTTAAATTTGGATCAGGGAGTGGGGAGAGAGCTGCCAGTGGAAGGCACCTATGGGTTAGTATCCATATTGTCACCAACCCATTTCCCTAGCAGACCCCAAGATTAGTTTTTCAATTTTACAAAAGCTGTAACTATATATGCTTTGAAGAGCTCTTTCTCTCACGAATCCCACTTTCTGTGTAAGATGGATGGATGGATGGATGGGGTTTCATTGAGAGTGGAAACAGCCATAATGTTCCTCTTTGTAGACAAATAGATAGATAGATAGATAGATAGATAGATAGATAGATAGATAGATAGATAGATAGATAGATAGATAGATAGATAGATAGATAGATAGATAGATAGATAGATAGATAGATAGATAGATGGATGGATGGATGGATGGATGGATGGATGGATGGATGGATGGATGGATGGATGGATGGATGGATGGATGGATGGATGGATGATCGACTTTGCAGCACATGATTATTATAGTTATTTTTTAAATCAGACCAAGATAAAATTATGCTGAAGGCCAGGGCATTGTAGGACCTCACAGGTCTCTCAACCTTTTGGGCGGGAGATGACGTCCTGCTGCCTTGCCTTGTGCTGACACCACCACCATGCCCTCTGTTCCCAGCCGTTGGCAGAACCAGTTGCAGTAGCAAGGATGAGAGCAGAAGGAAGAGTGGTAACAACCACTACCCCACGAGATTTTTTTGCTCCTTCCTTCGGGTCCTCTATTCTGACCTTCCCGCACCTTCTTTAAGGCTGTACAGCTTCTAGAGATACCCACGAAATGCTGAGCATTAGTGCCCTCTTGTGGTGGCTTTGCTGCTAATAGTCCTCCACCTGAGGTGAATGCTTCAGTTCACCCAATGTTAGGGCTGGCCCACCTCTGGAATCGAGATACTTAAGAATGGATGTTGACAGGTCATTTCTTTTTCCACCCTATCAGCTTATATTGGCATCTCTATATTTTTCATGCTGATTTCTGTTGCGGCTTGCTATGGCTCAGTCATATTTGGGACATTATGCCTCACAACTTTGCCACCAGCCAAGAGAGACTCGTGGCCCACCATCACCATCACCCTGTGTATCATCTCTGGTAAGAGCAACCTTCTTTTAATGCAAAAACACACACTATTTCTTTTCTTCCCCCTTTTTTTTCCTTTCCTTTTCTTTTTTGTTTTGTTTTCTACAAAAAAATTCCTTGTAGAAATATTAGCTCTGCTCCAGTCTATAAGAAGGTGTGTATCAGACACCAAAATCCTCTAGAGATGTTACAGATGCTCAAGAGATACCAGGTTGGTCACCACGGCTAATTGCAGCTAAATGATGAAGTGCCAGCTGTGTGCTGGGTACACGCCAGGAGCACCACTGGAGATGTGACTGGCAGGCATCATTGTGCAACAGGATTTCAACTGATCAAAATCCATACAACGGTAAAGCAACTTTGGAGAAAGTTGACACCTGAAGACTCCTCTGATGTCTTTCCAGCTGGATGTTCCTGCATAGTTACATGGAAGGTCATCTATTCCATGTGTTCCATTTCAACAACAAGAGTCCATTTTCCTTCACGTCCTATTGGTAAATATGTGGCCCTCTCCTTGAGAATGACCTGGACACGGCAGCAGATAGAGAACATGGATGCCAGGCTGGTGACATGTGTGAGTCCTGGCTTACTTGCACGGGTTGCCTGTAACATCCCAGGTCAGGTTCATGGTTTCAGTGTTCACTTACAGAGTCCTTTATGGTTTGGGACCCTGTCAGTGCACCTCTCCTCAGGGATATCTACCCACACCACCAAATCTTTTCCAGGTTGCCACACCAAGAGAGGCCAGGAAAACATCTTCAAGAAGTCAGGCCTTCTTGGTTGTGGCACCAATACTCTGCAATGCGCGCCTAGTTGAGCTGCACCTGGCACCTTCTTTGCTTACCTTTAAGAGGTTGATCAAAGCATTGCTCTTCAGAGAGGCTTTTAACGATATCCTCCCAGGAATCTCCCTACTAGTCCTGTCTATCCAACTATGGGCTGATTTTTGTGTGTGTGTTTTTTGCCTTCTGAGGTTCCTCTGATTTGATTCTATTCTTGTACAGAATAGTGCTTTGCACTAATCAGGCAGTATAAACATCGAATGAATGAATGAATGGATAGATGGACAGATGAACGGATGGATGGACAAACAAACAAATAAGTAAATAGTAGGTAAATGCCATTTCACCACCACTATTGACCTGAGGGTGTGTGTGTTCTTCTTAAAGTATGGGGTTCTGAACTGATCCTATTGCCAGTTTCTCCACCATGCAGATGAACCTCTTTCCCTCTCCCTTTGTGCAATGCTTGTTTCCATGACTTTTTCTTCCTCCTGAAAACATGGTTTATTTTTAGCACTGGTTTGTAATGGGAGGCCAGGTCTACCCCTTCCCGTTTGCAGTTGATGTCCATGGTGAAAGCCTCAGGTTAGAAGCTCTCAGAGTGCACTCAGTTAATGCTCTAAGACGCAACTGAATTAAAATTTGATTTAAAGATTTCAAACAGAAAGAGGGATTTCTTAATATATTTTTGTTCCTAAAGAAAGGAAGTTTCTTAAAAAAGCCAATGAGTAGTTTTTTTTAAAGAGATGTTTAGATATTCTGGGAAAGCTCACATTGTTTTGGCCTCAAGGAAAACATGAGGTGAAGGGAAAAATATTCCATTTGGAAGAGCCTAGAGTCATTCATTTAGTTTGTGTTTGCACTGTCCTTGCCCTTCAGGACCGGCTGGCCATTTTGCCAAGTCCCAGGGAAGACGGGTAATAGAAGGAGGTTGCCGTTGTCTAGCAACAGAGAAGTAAGAAAGACCCCTGACCTCTTCGGGACCCAATGGTAATGAATCTAACATCTTGACCTTCCCACTCTTGCTCTCTCATTGGCTCTCGTCCTTCAGGGTTCACAGGAGGCATAGGCCTGTTCAATTTCATGAGGTCCGCAACCGAGGAGCCCAACACGTTCCTTTCATGGTCCTTGGCACCAGGGTGGTTCTCTGTGATTGTGGTTTCCATGGCAGGTATGAGATGCACTGCTCAAACGGCTGGAATCTGCAAGGAAGAGAGAGCTTAGATGATGAGACCTTCCTGAATCCAAGCAAGGAAGGGCTAAGATCAGACCCTCTTGAGATACCTTAGAAGAAGTTCACCAGATGTTCCTGGACTAAAGCTCCTAGAAGCCTTCACCATTAGCTGTGCTGGCCAGGATTTCTGGAAGCTGCCACCCAAGAACATCTGGGGAACCCAAGGTTGGAGGCCACTGCCCTAGAAAGAGCTTGGCCACAGAGCCTTTGGCCTAGAACTCCCACTAGTCCTAATCAGCACCAGCAATTCTGAGTGCCCATGGGGTCTGCAACAACCAAAATATTTGGAGGGCAACAGTTGACCATTCCTTCACTACACCAATTCAATAAAAGTGTGAAAATTAAGGACCCTCCTCCCTCCTCGGATATAGTAAAAGCTGGTCAGTCCGATGTCATGGGAGCAGTGAACCTGCTCCAGATTTTAATATGAACTTTAAAAAGAGCCATCCAAACTGCCGACTCTACTGGTAGGATTCAGCTCCTTGGATTGCTCCCTGTAAGGTCTCTGGACTAAAACCAAAAGCTAAACTGACTAATAAGGATGGGGCTTTTACGAAGGGGAGCAGTACCAATGTTATTGCCGTTATTCAGTGGTTGTTTTAAACAGGATGGCGTGGTTTGACTGCAAAAAAAAAAAAAAAAAAAAAATACTGCAATGCTTTGCATTTTTAGCAATGCTAAAATGCATTATAATTGCTATGCTTTTGCTTTGCAGGAGTTTGCCATTTTGTGGCCAAAAGCTGGGAAAAAGAGGAATTAGCTGAACAACTTCTTGCAGCCACGACTATTTTTACATTGCAAGAGAACTGAATGGCGGAAGGTACCGCCAAAGATACCCTGCAGAAAAAGAAGAGAACGAAACCAGAGTCGGATACGTCAGTATGATTACAAGCGGCAATCTGCAACTTCTCTAAGGAGTAGGTGGATGGACTGCAAATGTGTAAAGCAATGCTAGACCTGAAATGTTCTGGCCTTTGGGAATAAGAGGACTTTTGGTACAGCGTGTGGTTTTCAAAACACTGCCTGCTTGGAAAGATCCTTATGTTCCCATGGTGGGTGACACTTTCAGGGTTTCCCAAGCTAAACGTGACAGCTGGTTACATTAGGGTGCATCAGTGCCATTCTGGGGGGAGGAGAGACAATCTGCCCCTGTGGACTGAGACATGAACATTTCCCCTGTATTTGTTCTGCCTGCCCTTTGTTGCGGTGATCCTTAATAAAAATCCTTGAATATGCTCATTGCAGGTCCCTCTCTTCTTATAGAATCAGCTGCATCTGTCTCTAATGCAGCCTTCCTCAACAAAGTGGCTTTGAGACCCATGGCTGCTGGTGATTCCAGTTTCAGGGGGTTCAGGAATCCACTCCGCATTTCAGAGTGCACTTTACAAGAGCTTTTCAAAATGCTGCACCATTTTCCCCCATAGCCAGTCCTGTTCAGCACCTTGGAGAGCTGCAACAATGCAAGCCAGACTGCATACCTGTGGGTTTCTTTTTTTTTTTAAATCATAGTTTCTAGAATTCACAAGGCACAGTTAATTTCAGCTTTTAGTTATGCTCCCTAAGCAAATCTGGGACCTGTAGTCTAGAAACACAAATGTGCGCATCTCTAGGGCAGATTAATACCTGGAGTTGATTCATAGCCTTCTTGAAACTGAAGATACAAGTTGCTGCTGGCCAACATGCATTGCACGAAGATCCCCATCTGCTTCAGCAAGTGTGGCTAATGGTGGGGGAGGACGGCAGAGTCCAGAACTTCAGAAAGGTGCCCAAATGGCAGGATGACACCTACAGTGCTCCAGAGGTTGTGAGATGCCAACTCCCATCAGCTATAGCTAGCACAGTCAACAGTGCAGCATTCTGGGGACCCACACATTAACCATCTCTGTCCTTGGGAGAGCATTAGATAGTAATTATTATTATCTCAGAACTGAAGAGCTGGAAGGGGCCCTTATGGATCATTGAGTCCGGCCCCTCTCAAGGAGGCACCGTGGGGAACTGAACTCCCAATCTGGCGTTCTGGGGACCCACACATTAACCATCTCTGTCCTTGGGAGAGCATTAGATAGTAATTATTATTATCTCAGAACTGAAGAGCGGGAAGAGACCCTTATGGATCATCAAGGAGGCATCGTGGGGAACTGAACTCCCAATCTGGCTCCAAAACCAGAGGTCTAAATCCCTGAGCTTCTCTGCCCCTCTCCTTACAACGGCACCTCATAGTGTGGAAATGGGCCCACCAAGTCTCAAACCCAGACTCTGAAATTCCAGTTTGGGTATGTATGGTCCAGGTTTGAGGGTTCGCACCTGAAATCCCAGAGAATTGGGTACTGCTAACCTGTCAAACCTAGATTTTGGCTTCAGAATGTGCCGTTTAGACGTGAACAGAAGCATGGAGATCATTGGATGGTTCTTTGTTTGAAGAGTTGGGATGAGAAATCTAGCCAACTGTTGGAAGTTTTTGCAACTTTGCATGCTGCCTCTAGTAGGTTTGGCTGAGAATGACCGTCAGTCTAATGCACTGGTTCTTAACCTTGGGTTACTTAGGAGTTTTGGGCTGCAACTCCCAGAAGCCTTCACCACCAACTGTGCTGGTTGGGGTTTCTGGGAGTTGCACGCCTCTAGTAGGTTTGGCTGAGAATGACCCGTCAGTTGAATGCATTACAAACCAACCATTCCCTCCTGCCTCTGAAACCAAAGAAAGCCCTGCCCTTCTGCTCCCCGCATCTCTTGAGGCTTGTTATATGTTCACTGTAAGAAAATGATTTCTATCCTTTCTACTATTAATGCCTGAGTGAATTATTGAAACATGTTAAGTGCCAACTGATGAGAAAAGGGGGACAGTCTAATTTGTGGAAACTGATGCTATCCTGCCTACTCTGTAAATCCCCTGCACAGCTAGAGGAAATCAACCTAAAATTCAAAGTATTGCAACTCCAACTGCTTATCTTAGGTGGGATGTGAAATCACCACAACCCACTGACGTTTGCAGCTTGCCTTTCTACTGACTATCAGAAGCAAATCTGTCATGAATGTTTGGGACTCTCTTTATTTCTGTCCGATGCAAAAAAATCTTGACGCCCAGCCTGTCGAAGACGAACTACCGACGGAAACCAGGTGTTTGATTTTTTTTAAGTGGGCTAATAAAGAATGCGCCTGATTGTGTATTGGTTTTACGGAAGGACCACACAGCCTTTTCTATTTTTTTTTCTGAACTATGGAAAATATCAGTCGGTTGCAACAAACCCTCGTTCTGTTCACGTGTCAGCCAGCTGGAATAACGTCTGAATGCGCACAAACACGACACGCGTGACTGCCCTACCCTTTCACCCACATTCTGTGACCTGGGCTCCGTGTCCTCATCAAAGGCAGGGATGCGGGAACCTTATTGGCTGGTGGGAAAGAGGGCGAGGCGATGCTGATTGGTTTGAGACAAATGGCCGGTGGACGTCATACCCTTTCGCTCCCGCCCCTTTCGAGGTCCAGGGGCAGAGTCCTGCTATGACTGGCTTAGAGAACACGTCAATCAGACTTGAAAGGAAGCACGCCTCCTTATTCCGGTTGTTCCACGGGGCGGGCCGAAATCGGAACCCTCTGTTTGGATTGGACGCTCGGACACCCCGCCCCCAAGAGCCGTAGCCCGGCCCATTCAGCTCCTCTCGGGTGGGGAGACTTTCGTGTTCTGATTGGCTAAGCCACCCTAGTGGGCGGGTACATGGAAGCGGGGAGAGAGAGAGAGAGAGTGGATGAGAGGGGAGAAAGATGGCGGCGGCCGGGCTGAGGGCGATGGTGGGAGTCAAGCGGGTGATTGACTACGCGGTGAAGGTGCGCTCGGGGAGTCCCGGGAGGGGGCGAGCGGGCGGGGGGTTCCTGCTCGGACGCCTGGGTCCTCCTCTCCTTCCTTTTTCCTCGCCGGGAGACTTCCTTGGCTCTCCCGTTGCTGTGGTTCAGCCGCCCTTCGACCCTCCTCGCGAGTCGGTCGGAGGAGAACACCTCCCATCACCTTTTCCCTTTAGGTTTCGCGGGGCTCATGGGAGTTGTAGTCTGCCTACGAGATCTCGAGCTCCAAATGGGCCCTGTCGCAGCACCCAGTGGCTCACCCCCGAGACTTACTCGTGAGTAGGGCTGGGAAGGGGCCGTGGATTGCTCCTAACTGACTGGGTTATGGGTAATGTTGATTAAACCCACTGAGCTCCGGAAGGGCGTCTATGGCTTCCCTCTCTCTCTCTCCCACCGTATTCGCGCACAACAGCCCTGGAAGGTGGGCCAGGCAGAGAGAAACGCCCCCGATCCAAGATCGTGTGGTTTTATTTCTTGACTCCACTGGGTTTTGAACTTAAAAGAGTCCCCAGGCCAGCGCTGTCGTCGCCACCCAACCAGATTTGCTGGTCTAAAGTTTCTTCGGTTGGGCGGTTGCCTGAAGAGTTTCAATCTAGAGCAGTGGTTCCCGACCTTGGGTTTACCTCAAATGTTCTTTGACTGCAACTCCCAGAAACCCTGGCCAGCAAAGCTAGCAGTGAAGGCTTCTGGGAATTGGAGTCCAAAACTGAACCAAGGTTGGGAGGGATCCCCAACCTTGGGCCTCCAGCTGTTCTTGGACTACAACTCCCAGAAGCCTTCACCACCATTTCTGCTGGCCAGGATTTCTGGGAGCTGAAGTCCAAGAACATCTGGAGGCCCAAGGTTGGGGACCAGAAGGCCCATTAAATATATAATATGTATCTATGTACAGTACATATGTATAAACAGCCATCCCAGAAAAGTGTCCTCAGAGTCTCTCTCTTCAATACCTTCCTTAAATCTTATTTAATATTCCTATCCCTTTTGCAGGTCTCAACACTACACCCCACAATGACCCGAACCTTGTTGCTTATTTACCCCTACAGAGTGTTAATCCCTGTTTCCTACCTCATACGTCTGGCTAAGTGGGTTTAAGAGGGTCTACAAAGGCTTACATTAAAATACTATAATAGTCTTTAAGGTGCTACAATGGTTTTGTCTTTTTTTTTTTAAAAAAAATCCTTTTGTTTTTTTGCCTGATAAGAAGGCTAATTGTGTACCTCCCAGTGGCCTTCTCACTGGCCATGAAGAAACTCGGCACTGGAGTTTCAGGCACACACCTGCCTGATGGACTTACACAAGTGTAACTCAGCAATGTGTTGTGAATCCAGTTATGTAGAAATGCAACAAGAGAACAATCCTCCCTGGCTTACTCTTTCCTTCCCCCTGTCAATAATTTCCCTTGGATCCATCTACTACAGTTCTCATGAGCCACTAGCCAGTGCAGCCCACAGCAATGGAAAACAAGGAGTCTCAGTCCAGTAGCAGTTTGGAGGGCTTCATGTCACTCATCACTGCTGCAGTTTGGTAAAGAGAGGCTACACAGGACAATACGGGAAGGTTCTGATGGCAGGAAGGTTTCAATTGCCATGTCTTGGAAGTTAAACCTATCATTGTAATTCCTGATGAAGACAAACTATGAAGCAATATGTGCTGGTACTTCCCCCCCTCCCCGACTGCATTTGCTGTTAAATAACAACGATTTGGTCGTCAGACTTTCTTGTGCAAACAGAGTTTTTTTCCAACGGAACTTTGACCCATATGTTTTGGAAAAGTCTAGGCACTTAAGAGTTGATCATTTCCAGGACTAGATTTTCTTTCCCTACTTCCATAGCAAACAGCGTAAGTTAACGGGAATCTTTGGAAGGCATTCCAGAGTTTCCATGTGTGTGTTTGTACAATTCCTTGTTGTTGTTGTTTAGTCGTTAAGTCACGTCCGACTCTTCATGCCCCCATGAACCAGAGCACGCCAGGCCTTCCTGGCTTCCGCTGCCTCCCGGAGTTTGGTCAAATTCATGTTGGTAGCTTCGATGACACTGTCCAGCCATCTCGTCCTCTGTCGTCCCCTTCTCCTCTTGCCTTCACACTTTCCCAATATCAGGTCTTTTCCAGGGAGTCTTCTCTTCTCATGAGATGGCCAAAGTATTGGAGCCTCAGCTTCAGGATCTGTCCTTCCAGTGAGCACTCAGGGTTAATTTCCTTCAGATTGGATAGATTTGTTCTCCTTGCAGTCCATGGGACTCTTGATTCAAAAGCATCAATTCAAAAGCACAGTTCTTCGGCGGTCAGCCTTCTTTGTGGTCCAGCTCTCGCTTCCGTACATCACTACTGGAAAAACCATAGCTTTGACTATGCGGACCTTTGT